CTAGAAATATTTCGCCTGCATATAGTAGGTTTTTTATTTTGGCCAACAATTTTAGCACACAATCCACACCTTCTGAAGCATCTTTTTTGGAATCGGGCGAAGCTGTGAAGTTGCAGAAATTTCTCCGCCGCGTGAAATCGTGCTGGGGCTGGCGACTTGGGGCAGGCTGGAAAGCTTTAAAGGGGTCTCCTATGGCTCCGGCGAGCGACTCCTCGTGCTGCGTCTGGGATGAAAACGTAATTTTTTCAAGTGTGCAGGTTGCACTGCAGATGAAACTCCCGCTTGGCATCGCGAGCAAAGGGATGCTGGAAGCCGTCGGCAGCCGAGTCCGTGTCCTGCTGTGTCCGGGAAGCAGCGAGGATGGTGGTAGGGGGTTTCTCTTCCCCTCGAAGACTGTTAGGATCCGTCTCAAGTAGGCTTTAGTTTAACTTTCCCAGGCTTTTCTAGGCTTTCGCCCCACGTTCTCCTGGCTCAGCCCCTTGCACGCCTTCTCAGCTGGGGGTGGTTTGATTATTTTTGCTCTTTTTCCAGCCACCCCTTGGCCGCAGGTAGTAGCAGCGATGCCAGTTTAGGATGGAGCTTGCACTGCGGGATGCTTCCGCATGTGGGTTTACCTGTCTTGCCATCCATGGTACCCCCCAGCCCACGCTTTTAAGCTGCTGTAAGGGAAGAAGCGGCTCTTCCCCCAGGATCAGCAGCTCCAGGCGCTTTCTTCATCTCTCTTCACCTTCATTAACCCCCGATGCAGCCAGCTCGGGGGGGGATTAGCCGAGCCCCGATGTGCCGATGCACAGGGCTTTTGGGGGTTTGCAAACACCCAGGGGCTTCTGCAGGGCCATTTTGGTCCACCCTCATTTCCAAAACTATCCCAGGACAACCATCTTAGCCCCGTGCTTGCTGATGGGTCGTCTCGCAGATGTTTTCTTTCTTCATGTAGAGCTCCAGCAGCACTAGGGAAGAGAAAAAAACCCTCACTTTTTTTTCCTCCCCCCCCTTCTTCCTGCAATGTATTTATTGCTCCGTGGCCAACAAATAAACGCCCCGGCCTCAAGTAGTCATTTCCCATCTTCGAAGACGATTGCAAGCTGGGAGACGAGGTCAGGAGCACAGAGCCGGAGCTGGGGCTCTGCTCTTTCCCCGGTAAAGAGGATTTTGTGATACATCCAACGCAGCAGTTGGTTTCTCTCTTTCCTGGCTTTTTCTGGCTGGTGTAGGTTGCTATGTGGTCCTCTGGCTTACGTTAGCCTGACAGCTTCTATCTGCTCAGCATCCGTCCCCTTTGGGGGAGCTGCGAGGGCAAGAGGACTCCCAAAAAAGCAGTGATGAGAGCTTGGTTTAGCAAATGGAGCAAGAAACAGAATGGAAACGCGGTGGTAGGCACGGATGGGACGTGAAGGTGGCATTCAGCAGCACGCCGTACCGCCAGCGTGGCCCGGCAGAGGTGTGGCAGAGCTTCTGGGCGGGCTGTGGACGGTGGGGACCGGTGTTAATGTCGTGCCAGATAGGGACTAATTTCATAGAATCACAGAATCATGGAATCGTTGAGGTTGGGAAAGCCCTTTAAGCTCCCCCAGCCCAACCGTTCCCCTACCCCTGCCATCCCACCACTAAACCCTGTCCTGGAGCGCGCCGGCTGTAGGTAGCGTTGTTGCTCTTCGATACGCGCGTCCCCTGGAATTGCTGTGGACTTTTTCTGGAAGTTCACCCACCAGCTTTGAAAAGGGGATGGTGGCTTTTGCATCCCGGTATAGCGTGCGTGGGAGGCGCGGGACCGCGCTTTGGCTCCTGGTTTTACGGTCAGAGGAAGGGCTCTGGGACGCTGCGGGCAAAGGCTGTGTACACAAAGGGATTGCGCTGCATATAAATGGAGACTGAGATTATAAATAATGAGGGGGGGAAAAAAAATCCCAAACAGTTCTTGAAAAAGAGAGTACACATTAAGTCTTTCCTAAATCCATATTTAGCCATGGAAGCGAGCTGATTTTCTGCACGGATGCCAAACCCAGGGCACCTTCCACAGCTGCTGTTCGCTGCAGGCACCCACGTGTGAAAATCCAGGGTTTTGATTTTTTTATTTTATTTTATTTTTATTTTTGCAAGGGTGTCTCGTACCAGGGCAGGAAGATGCTGTCGTCCATAACCTAATTTCAAAGCTGATCCAAGCCACCAAATTCCTAACTGGTAAAGTAGCGTTAGTCAGAAATCTCCCCCGGTGGACACATCTCCTGCAGTTGAAGGCATCCCGTCCTCCCATGCCGGCTTTAGCAGCGTGTGGGCGATCTTGCTGCTTCATGCTTTGCCAGTGGCAGAGCTGGGTGAAGAAGTATCTTCCACAGGCCCCATATTTGCTTTTTTGCCACTGACTTTCCCCCCCCCGCCGCTGCTCGCCGGGGTTGTTTGCACCAAACACCAACGTGCTGCAAACTGTAGAGCCAGCGTTTTCCATCCCCGTCACCCTGGCCTGCTTCGGATGGGTGGCAGCAGATAAGCAGAGGACAAAAGCCCTTGGGAACAGTAATTAATAGGGAACGAAGGGAGAAACAGCCCCCCTAACGATGCCCCTGTGCCAAAATGCATGGATTTGTCTTCCAGGATTTACCCTGCAGCTGCTGAACTGTAGGGTTAATTTGGGGATGAAAAAAGATGCTGCTCTAAACGCCTGGAGGGTGAGATGTCTCAGGACATCGTGGCTCCCAGTGGGAACAGAGCAAACTGGTCTGAAAGTGGGATTTTACCCCCCAGCTTCGCTGGTGGGAAGCTCTCTCTGCATCCTGCTTAGCATCTTGCCTGAGTTTGCAATGCTGGGCGGTAAAGAACGCAGAGTGAAAGGCTCAGTGATTAATTACCTCGCTTTGTTCCCCGTTCCTCTGGGATGCCAGTGAGCTGGCAGATGGAGGGGTACCAAAACAGGGACCCAGCACCCCTGGGTGCCCTGGTGCCGCGCGCACCCTGCTGCTGCCAGATGTGGTCCAGGGCGGTGCAGGGTGGCCGCATCCCTCTACCGATCCCCCCCTCCTGATGCCCTCGCTGGGCGATCTCGGGATGAGAGGGGAGCGTGTGGCTAGCGACGGCGCCTGTGTTCACACAGCCCGGCTTTCTGGGACTTTTTGTCCAAATTAAGTGTGAATCGTGTAGGAAAAACACATACTATGCACGCAGCTGGATTTCCCCCTCCCCGGCGCTGTTTGCTTCTCTGGCTGACTGGAGCGGCTTTATTAATTTTTCCACATTTCAGCTGTGTTGAAGTGTCAGAATTTCCTAAATTCCTGTGGGAGTTGGAGCTTTTTACCCAGCGGTGGTGGAGGAGCCGCTTACCCGGGGTGCTGGGGGGGGGTGGTGGTGTCCCCCTTAGCGAGGCTGGCGCCGGGCCAATGGGACCAGTTCCTCTCTCCCATAGCCTGGGGAGACACGGGAGAGCTGGAAAAAAGACTTCACCCTCTGCGAGCTGGCAGCAGCGAGTTTGGTGTTTTCCTTTAAAAGCATAAAAAAAAAAATGTTTTCCCTCTTTCCAGTGGAATTGTCTTCAAATAGTTTGGGAATTGCCTTCGCGGAGAGCTGCAGACAGCATCTCGTGTTAGAAATATCAGTGATGATAGTCCCACCTTGCCAGATTTCGTTTGATTCGGTGTTATTAAACCAAATAAAATTAGGGGCGGGAAGCACATGGCAAATTGATGGTTGAGGATGGGATCGATCTCTTGGCCAGAGCCCATGGGAAAGCTTATTGGGGCTTTTTTGGGGTGGCATTTGGCCTCTCTTGCTGCCTCCCTCCAGTTATAACCTTCCCAAAATGCTGAAATACAACCCGAGCTGCTCCTTTTCAAGCCCGAGCAGGTTCATGCATGCCTCTTACAATGGTGTTTTTGGGTTGTGGCTTTTTTTTTTTTTTTTTTTTTTTAATTTTTGCAAATGCCAAGGTGGCTGCTGCGGTTTCTGTCTCGTTTATTCGGCTGCTCTGATGAGATGTGCACACAAGCCCTCGTGGTATCCCCTTTGCCCGTGGGTCATGGCTGGAGGCAGCCGCGCGTTGCATCCCGCCTTCGGGAGAAAGCACGGGTGAGAAAGTCTGGGCTGCTTTGTTTCTTGAGCCATTTCTCATTAATCACGAGCTGTAGAGCAGCGCAAACCCAAGTGGGCTGTGGCTCGGGCCCAGGCTCTTTCATATTTTAATCCAGCCTTGCCCCGGCGTGGCTTTTCCTCCGGCTGCCTGACTCAGCAATCCTGGATTTCGCCGTAAATCGGCTTTGGGGGGGTGCCTTGTCCCGGGTGAAATGCCCCATGGCAGGGCTGCGAGGGGGTAGCAGTGTCCCAGCAGGGCTCCTCCTGGGGCAGGGGTTGCTGCTTCTGCCACCGGGCTAAAATAGGATGCTGGCAAGGGTCCCGTGCCAGGTGCTTTTGGGTGGCAGGAGTGCTGCTCCAGCCCAAATTTGTAGCGATGTGCAAGCTGGAAGCACGTTAATTGGTGGGAAATCATCGGCGTAACTCAGGCGTGTAAAATCCAAGCGTGTTTGTGATGCCTGTGTCAGGCGCCCAGCGCTCCGCCCTTGGTAGCGACGCATTTTTGTGTGAAGTGATGGATGCCCACCTTCTCTTATCATTTAATAAAGAGCAACGGCTTGGACCTGACCCATCATCATGGACTTGCCCAACCATCACCAGACCCGACCTGTGGGTTGACTCCCTGGCTTTATCACCTTGCCTGGTGGTCCAGACTCTTGGTTGAACCTGGTTGTCATCTTCATCTCCTTAGCTGGGGGTGGTGGGACAAGCCCTGGCTGGAGAGGTCCTGCCTTGGTGATCTGAACGTCTCCTACGGGAAGGACCTGAGATACGTGTGTCAGGCAAGTTGATCCTAACCCAACTGCCCATACTTAGATTCCTTGGGAAGGAGGTAAAACAAAACCAGCCAAGAACCTGCTTTCCAGAGGAGTTAAGGAGCTAATAAAACCCAAGTGGAGCAGGAAATTCAATGAAGTCTGACAGAGCCAGGCTGGCTGATGCCACGATGAATGCAACGCTACGTGAATGTGAAGGGGATCCAGTGACCCAGGTGGGCTTGGAAGAGCCTCAGCTTCGCCTGGCTGTTTACAGAGCCCAGCTCGCGTCTTCGTACTTCTCTGTGCAAAATATATATATATATACACACATATATATATAATTTTTATTTTATTTGATGACAACAGTTCCAACCCCCCAGCCCTGATGAGGTCTCCAGTAGGTACATGCTCTCGAAGGCTTTGCTATAAGAACAGATCCATATGTTCCGCCTGTGCTTTCCAGGCAGCTATTCAACAGCAGGCAGCAGCGGGCAGTGCCGGAGGACGGAGCGCGCGCGTGCGCGATGGAGGGTGCTGGGAGCAGGGGGGGGCTGCCCGCGGGATGGAAGCCAAATCCTGGTGATCCTTTTGCTTGCCCGAGGTCTGAGCCGGCTGGCGCTGTGGGGTGTGAGCGCTCGGGCTGATGTCAAGGAGGATTTGATGGGAGCTTGGTGTTAATTAGGAGCAGGTCGGTAGCCAGGACAACATTTCCAGCAATGTTTGCCCTCTCATTCATCTTCCCCTTCTTTGGGGGGTGGAGTTGTAACACTTTCCAGCTTCTCCTCCGAAGGGATTCCCCGGTGTTAATTCCCAAGCACTTCACGGGGCAAAGGCGATGGTTTCTTTTTCCCTTCCTTCTCGCTGTCAGTAGCGTTGGTGAAACAGCCGATTCCCTCCCCAGTACCGTGGGGGTGGCGATGAGGATGATGAGGGTGGGGAGGGTGCAGGGAGGCGAGGTGGCGTGGGAGCCCATGTAGCCTGTGTCCCCCGTTGCGCAGGGTTAAGCAGAAAAACTTATTGCCGAAGGAATGGAGTTTCCTAGCCATATAAAGACATAACTTGAATTGTGGCCAGTTTTTTTTTTTTTTACGTTGGTTGGGGTTTTTTCGCCCTTTTTTATTTATTTTTTTTTTTCCATCTACAGGCAAAATTAAGGGTCATCATATATGAACGTGCTAACGGATCCATCCCAGTGTCATGGAGTAGCAACAAGACACCCGGTTTATTTGGGATGCTTTTTCCCCTTGCGTTCACGCATGCTCCGCATCCATCTTTAATGAGTATATTGAGTGTGTATGTACATGTATGCGTATATATACACACACCTTCCCCCCCCCCCCTTTTCTTTATTTCTTTGTGGAGTCCAGGCTGGCCTGATTCGGACAGACAGCAACGAGTTCTTCATCGAGCCCCTGGAGAGGGGGCAGCAGGAGACGGAGGAGCACGGGAGGGCCCACGTGGTCTACCGCCGGTCGGCCATCCGGCAGGAGGGCACTGAGCCCCGCCAGGACCTCCACCCCGAAGGTGGGGGCTGCTGGAATCTTGTCTTTCCCAGAAATTGATAATAACTGTTTCTTGGGGGGGGGAGGATATTGCCTTCCACTTGCCCTCTAGCTTGTACATCTCGCCTGATGGCTTTAGGCTGGTTTTAACTGCCAGTTGGGTCATCAGCGAGAAGAAAGGAAAGAAAATGCCGGGCTTTTGCTGGGAACTTGGAAATTCTTCCATGTTTGGTTAAAATTCGATGAGTTATGAGTTATTCTTCCTCTGCTTGAAAGAGAGGAAGAATCTCCTAGATGGGTGTGATCAGGCCCGTGGATGATCACGTTGGCCTTGGGAGGGGAAGCAGGGTTGGGACTCGGGGGCGAAGGGGTCAGGAGGAGCAGGACTTGGTCCCACTTGGCTGCTGACTGCGGTGTGGAGATGTAGGTGCTGCAGTCTTGTTTTAACCACCTATACACTGTGAAACATGGTGTTGATTTGACTGTTTAACAGATGATAGAAGCCCTCCCTTTTCCCAGCATTCATCATTCATTTCACTTTTCTAGTGCCGTGTCCCTTTTTTCTTTTTTTTTTCCCCCCTTCTTCTTTGCCTCGAAGGAGAAAACTTGGCTTTTTTTTCTTTTTTTTTATAGCATCACTTCGCTGTGCACTGCGCTCTGCATGTATAAATCTCCTGCTGACTTTCCCCCTCACCCACCCAAAGCTGAGTGCGCCCAGAAGCGTTTACAAGCGTGGGGTCAATGTTGTGCAAAAGCATTCTATCAACCTATTTATATTTACGGGGAGGCGTTAGCCTTCCCTGGTGTTTATTCACCTCTTGTGGCATTGTAATCAGCTTCCCCGATTTTTAAAAAAAGTTTAGAAGTTTGCCAGGGCGTGCTCGTTGCTTTTACAGCATTGCTAATGGAGTTGCGGTCAAGAGCTTCAAAGATGCTGCTGGGCGGTGGGGTGAGGGATGCGATGAAGGGTGAGGGATGCGATGAAGGGTGAGGGATGCGATGAAGGGTGAGGGATGCAATGAAGGGTGAGGGATGCGATGAAGGATGGAGGATGCTCTGGCTGCAGCTATCTGCTCTCAAGGAGTGGCCCCCAGCTCTGCATGTGTCCTCTCCAGCTCTCCCCCACCTCCCCAAGTGTCCCACCACCACCCAATGGACAGCGTAGGTCCATCATCACACAGATGTGCCTTTTAGTGCTGGTGCTCCCAATTCAGAGCCGTTTCCCCACCGTAGAGCGAGCTGGATGAGTGACCTGGTTTGGAATTAAATATCCTATTTCTTTTTCCTTGCTTACGTTACATCTTTTGGGAGTGTCACCATGGTGTCAGGTCACCTCAACGGCTGTTTCTTTTTCTGCCCCCCCCCATGCCTTGCTCAGCGCCCAGCGTGCGGGTGGGCGATCTCCCCAACTCCCTGGAGCTGATGACGGAGCAGCTGGGGGACGCGGAGCGCAAGAGGCGTCACGCCAGGAAGGACGACTACAACATCGAGGTCTTGCTGGCGGTGGATGACTCGGTTGTACGCTTCCATGGGAAGGAGCATGTCCAGAACTACGTCCTTACCCTCATGAACATAGTAAGACTTGGCTTTGGGGGGCGGTGTGTTGGCTCCCACCCCTCCTTTGGTTTACTGCTCTTTTAATGCTGCGAATCTGTTATCCTGGGAAAAAAATAGGTTGGGGGGGGTGGGGGTGGGGAAGTGCTGCAGGAAGGGCTGTTCCTTCGCCGGAAGATCCAGCTCTGGCATTTAATAGCTGTGGCAACTGGAGTGATGGAAAGCAGAGCCCTTGTATGTTCATCTCCGTTGCGTTCCCCAGGCCGACGGCAGGGTCTGGCGTGGTGGTTGCCCTCGCTGTCTGTCACCCGAGTCCAAGAGCATCTCCCATTTCTCCTGGCCAAGTCCGTCTCCTCCCCGTGGCCGAAATCTCAGCAAATGCTAGGGAAGAGAATGGTTGTTGATTATTTAGTTTGAAATGATGATTATTTATTATTTGCTTTGTAGTTATGGTGTTTGTTTTTTATTTTGAACAATATTTGTTGATGGGGGGAAGATTTTTATAGATTTTTCATATTCCTTGGAATAAGGTCTGCACCTTGAGGATTAGTCGGATATGTTTGAAAAGGAGTTGATAGCAGCTTTACAGCAGCCCCGCTTTGGCACGTCCCCTCGGCCGGTGGCGTGGGGCAGCCTGGGCTGATCCCCTACACCGCTTTTCTTCCCTTTATTAAGATAAAAATGCACATATTCCCCAAGTCCCAAGAGAAGGGGAAGGATCAATATTTATTCGGCTCGTCGTCTTGTGGAAGCTGTGCTCCGCTGGCACCCGAATGTCTGCAGAGAGGGTTCCGCGTTCAAAGATCTCTTTCGTGCGCTCTCCCGTTTTTGTTTTGTTTTCCATGCTTTATCCTCGCCTCTATTTATTTTTTTTATTGAATTACTCTTTTTTTTTTTTTTTTTTTCCCAATGGCGATGGAAAGCGTTCAAAAGGCACAACCAGCTCAGAAATAACCGAGCTGTAAAGATGCTTTTGCATTTGGGTTGCGAGCGTGTTTCTTTGGGCATTATTTCTGCCCTGGCGGGCGGGCTCAGAGCCATATTCCCAGCAACGAGGGGGAAACGATCAACACGAGGGGTAAAGATTTGGGGGAGATTAGAGGCAAAGCATAACGTGGCCAATCCCAAATAGAGAAGATACTGGGTTTAAAAAGCAAATGCCTTCATTGCAATGTTTTATTCCCCGGTGCGTTATCCTGATGCTCGTGGTAGGATGCTCTCGGCAGCACTTAAATTCCCTCTCTGGAAGTTTCTCCCCTTTGCTTATTAAATCCTTAAACAAGGGGGAAGCCGCAGGGTTCCCTGTTCTGACCCCGGGCTCTTCCCACGTTACGGGGGTCGGAGATGATGTCACTTTTTGGAGATTGTCAGCTCTAATCAAAAGGTTGGTTTCCAGGCGCATTTCATGGTTTGTACCCCGCGGGCAGGACTTTTCAGGGAGTGAATGCGCGGGATGCTGGGCTGGGAGAAGGGAGGACCACTGTCTATTCAAATAAAGGCAGCGCTGGAGACTTTAATGAATTAAATAAAGAGGGGGGGGGAAAAAGCGGCATCAATAAAAGGGGGGGAAAAAAAAACCCAGGATAATGCATGCAACAAATACTTCCCCCAAGTATTATTTCCTTCTATACGTTCTTCCCCCACCCCCTTCCCCTTCTTTCTTTCTGGTTTTCAGTGTGTTTTCTTCCCAGCTTTGCCATGACCTCCATCCGCCTCCTCTTCCCTTGGCGCCGCCTCGTTTCCTTACCGGCTCCGGGTGCCTTAAAATAACCGCTTCACCAAAAAAAAAAAAATTGCTTTCTGGCCTGGATGGCAGAGGGGAGAGAGAGGAGGGTGCCGGGGGCTGGCGGGGAGGAGCATGCAGGGAGCAAACAGCTGAACACTAATGGGATTAGTTGGAGGCAAGGCGAAGGAGGAGAGGCTTGGCCAGCCCTCTAACGAGGAAAGGGCTTAACGAGCTGGGAGCTCTGGCCGGAGCACGCCGGGGAGATGCTGCATGGGAGCCAGCTGGGAAAGCCTCCAGGAGTTTTCCTATCAAGATATGTCCCAAGGAAAGGTGGCGGCGAGCTTGGAACTTCATCAAAAACTTCCCTGGCCTTTTCTGGGGTCCCCGCTGGGTGCCGAGGGGGTGGTGGGGACACAGACCCCTTTCCCTGGCACCGTGTGGGCTTGGCTTAACTTGGCACTACTGTAGGTAGGGTCCCGGGGCTCTCCTTGAGGCACAAACCCTTTTAGGAGGAACCCAGGCTCCACTGAAGCTCGGTGATAAATGATTTGTCACAGAGACCTTTTTTTTTAAAAAAAAAAAAAACAAACCCAAACCAACAAACCCAAACCATTATTTCATTGCCAGAAATGTGGATGCCAGGCTTTTCATCAAACGGCGCTGTGCCTATCCCGGGAAGCTGACGTGAGGATGACTGCTCCTTTTGTGCACCCAAGAGCTTCCCCGCCGGCTGCCGTCCCCGCTGGCTGCCGGCCTGCGTTCCCAGCCTGCTCTTCCCTTCTCGGCTCGGAGGCTATGCCAGGGTTTGGGGTCAGGTTGAAGGGAGTGGGGAACGCATCCCTTGCCGTCGCTCGCTGTGGACGCTGGAGAAAGCTCGTATGAGCACATCTCATAACTCCCAGCTGAGCGTCCCTCCATCCGCCCTAGCAAAACCTGGCCCCTTCCCTGATGCTGGACTCTTGGGATGAATATTTGGTGATGCGGTGGCTGGGAGAAGCTGTTTCCCTGTCTTTCTTGCTACCCGTGGAAGGGATTGCAATGCTATTGAAGCAAAATTCACATCCCCCAGCCCCAGTGATGGCTGCGTGTGAGGGCTGAAGGGTGGGAGAAGGGCTGGGAACATGGAGGGGATCCAGCACCCCGTAAGGGGAAGAGGAGAGGAAACGTGTTGTGTCCTGCTTTGCTTTTCAGCCTCTTGCCATTCACTTGGGCTCCTTGGTTTTCTCCTCCGGACTTCCCACTGCTCGCCCCTGATGCTCTCAAGGCCGGGGCTGGCCCCACTCAGAGGAGATAAACCAAGTTACGGGCTCTGTTAAGCCTGGCCCTGGTGTCAACTGGTTTGCTGGGGTTTTTTAGGATATTGCCTGTGCTTTGGTTAAGGATGCAAAGGTACTTGGTGTTTTTCCCATTGTTTTGGGTTACTAGGGAAACCCCGTGAGTCAGAGCCCTCTCCAGGCTGGGACTTGCCCGGCTCCCCTCTGGCACATCCGCCGAATTAGTGTTCCCAAGGGCTGAGTGACAAAGAGTGCTGCTGAGACCCCCCAGAGGAGAGGGTTAGGAGGAAAAAAACCCCAAACCTCCAGCTTTAATTTTAACCTGGGATTATCTGAAAAGCCAAGCCAGAGCGTGGATTGCTCGAGAGACTGATTTACCAAGCTTGGTGCCAATTTCAGAAGGGAGACCAGTCTAAAATAATGGGCAAATTATAGTCCTCCTGCTGTATGGTTGGGTTTTTGGTGGTTCATGAGCCATCTCCTCTCTAACTGATAACAAAAAATACCTCTGATGTCTCCCTTAGGCATGCATGTGCTTTTTCTCACCCCCTCTATAGGCTCACGTGTTTGTTGCTACATTTTTGGGACAACATAGCCTGTTGCGTAGAGAGCTGCGATAAAATCTGTGCAGAGCAAATCTCCCCTTTCCTCCAGTCCGCTGGATCGAAAATGTGGGTAGCATGGGTCAGCCCTTGCCGAGGCTGGCATGCATCCCTGCAGGGGATGGCGAGGGCATGCAGCGAGCCCGGTAACGCGGTCGGGAGGACTTTTGCCTCTGTTCCTACCCCCTCAGCCCCAGCAACCAGGCTTGGGGTGACTCCACCGGCGTGAAAATTGAGCGAGGGACTAAAAGAAAGGAGCTTAAAGATGACTTGGCTGTTCTGAGTAAGCGATCTGGGGTTTTGAAATGTCAGCTATTCTGCTGGTTAAGGGCATGCAGCGAGCCCGATAACGCGGTCGGGAGGACTTTTGCCTCTGTTCCTACCCCCTCAGCCCCAGCAACCAGGCTTGGGGTGACTCCACCGGCGTGAAAATTGAGCGAGGGACTAAAAGAAAGGAGCTTAAAGATGACTTGGCTGTTCTGAGTAAGCGATCTGGGGTTTTGAAATGTCAGCTATTCTGCTGGTTTGGCAAATTCTTCGCGTGTCTCTCCCTTTTGTTTTCCTTCCCTGAAGAACGGCAAGGTCTAGATGTTGCCAGTGCGGTTTGCTGTCGAGATCTCATGTCTGGGGCTGCAGACTCCAGGCTGGCCAGACTTGCAGGGATTTAGGTAGGCAGCCTTGCTCGCTCCCAGCGCCAGCGAGGGTCTGGGGCGGGCGGGAGGGGGGCCCCACACTTTGCAAATTCACCAAGCATTTTGGAGAAGGTGCATGGGGTTTTAATGTTCCTTTCATTCTCTGTAGAGCTTAGCATCGCCCCCTTGGTGTTTTGTGGGGCTGGGGGTTTTGGAGTTGCTTGCGGGCTGGTTGTTCTTGCTGGTTTGCCCTTAACACGCAGCTAGCCTTAAGGGCTGTTTTTTTATAGGAGAAAAAAAAAATCCTCTTTTAAATGAAATAGGAGAGCATTTCTTGCCAGGTGACAGTATTATACGGGCTGGGCATCTAACCACGTGGGTGAGAGGGAGAACGAGATCTTTATCCCATCAGTCTTCAAGGAGGTGGGTCCCTTTACCAGACCCCCTTGCCCAGCAGGTATTTCTGGGGGGATTTTCTTTGAAGACATTGACTCGCTTAATGGCATCCGCAGAGGGCAGGGGGAGTTGTGCCAAGCCTGCAAACTGCTCTCTGGGCCCATTTCCATCCCCTCTGCCAGCTTGAACCAGCTCCAGGGCAGGGTGATGGGCAGCAAACGCCGAGTCCTTTTGATTTTTTTTTTTTTTTTTCAATCAATTATTTATGTCTGGCTATCAAGGGAAGTCCATAGCCTTGGGCAGTCTCGTTCCACATTTGCTTTCTGAATTAACCATAAAGGTCCGAGTTGGTATCTGTTAGGTACAGCTCCCCGCCTAAACGCTGTCCTCCCCTAGCCAAAACAGGGGCTGGGGTTTAGGGTGAACCCTTTGGCTCAGGGGCTGGAGGGGGTACCTGGTCCCTGCTAGCTGGAAGAGAGTGGGATTTAGCACTGCTTTAAAAGGAAGATTTAGGGGATTAAATCCCATCTTGGAGCAGTACAGCTTCTTGCATCTTATCATAGAATTGTTGAGGTTGGAAAAGCCCTTTAAGGTCATCAAACCCAACCGTTCCCCTAACCTTGCCGTCCCACCCCCAAACCCTGGCCCTGAGCATCTCATCTGCCCAGCTTTTAAATCCCCCCAGGGATGGGGACTCGACCCCTTCCCTGGGCAGCCCCTTCCAGTCCCTTAATGATTCTTAGTCCCCTAACAAGCTGTTTGGAAGCTGCTTGTGGTCCTGCTCATGGTCCTGCTGCTGTCCGTAGCCGCTTCTCTAGCCAGGCTGCAGAAGGATGTGCAGCGCTGGGGGGCTGCTGTTGAGTTGAGTTGTCAGTGCCTGCCAAAAGCATTGCTGTTCCCAAATTTAGGGTATTTTCTTTCTCCCAGGGTAGCTAATGTCATCTGGGGGTGCACAGCTTAGGGGCAGGGAGCTCATCTCAGACCTGGGAACCGTTTACGGGCACCCCTGCTAGGAAGAGATGTCGCTGAGAAGAGGGCTCCATGGTCCGTCAGCTGGTGCAGAGCAAAGCTCTTGCCCTGCCAGCTCCTCTGCTGGTGCTCCTTCCTCCCCTAGATGCCACCCTCCTCTTCTCCCACTGGCTGGGGCTGTGGCACGGAGCATCCTTTCCTGCTGCCCGGCGGGGTCTGCCGAGCATCCTCCCAAAATATCCCATGCAGCTGGGAAGGGAGAGGTCTGCGCTGCTCCCTCGGATGCTCCAAGGTGCGGCAAGGTCAGGCAGTGGCATGGCCAGGAGCTGCGGCTGGCGGAGGGGTTGCTAAGGCAGGAACAGGGCTCATCCCAATCCCAATGGATCGAGGGGTTCTCGGGAGCAGGGAGCAAGCAGCAGAGCGCCGGGAGATGATGCTGAGGCGTTGGCTGAAGCGGAGGCTTAACCGGTGCTCCAGCTCCCGACAAGTGCTGATGGTGAAGGAAAATGCGTGGAGATTTTGGAAAGTGAAGGGAATGGGCATGTTTTCCCCCTCGTCCCCCTGAATCATCCCCCAGGTCCAGCTCTCTGGCTCTTCAGGGCCGTGGCATATGTTTCATTCCTCCCTCACTCCCCCCGTTCCTTTGCCCTTTTATATTACCTCTCATATGACGCGTATTAAGGCTGGGATATTTTTGCAAAGGGTCAAACTCCAGGTTGGGGACTTCTCACATCCGCTAAAGTTTTCTCTGGGATGCCAAAGCCTCCTACATCCCAAAACGCGGGGCTGAGCGTGATCCCTCCCCACCCTGGGATGCTGCAGCTCCTTGCTGGGATGGATGCTTGGTGCTTTGCTGGGACTGTAGCTCCGAGCAACGTCTGCAAGCGGGAGCCCAGCTGCTCCCATCGGCACGCATCCCCCAAAAAAGAGTCGACATGGGAAGAAATCCCTCATATTCTCATTATTTTTACAAAATGCGGCGTGGAGGAGCATCCCCACCGCGATAAGCAGCGGGGAGGTGAGGATGGCTTCTGCGGCGTTTTCTTTCCACGCTGCTCAAGCAATGACCCCGCGGGGCTTAGCAGCCCATGCCTCCAAAGGGATACATTAATGGGGATGGACTGGTGATTTATTTACTGATTTTTAGGTTTTTTTAATCAATTTTGCGGCGTTCAGGATGCGGCAGGCTCAGGACCTGCGCCACCCCTCTGCAAAGGTCGGAGCTGCTGAGTTGTCACGGGGAAATGTTAATGTCTTTGGGTTTAAAAATGGCCCGAGTGGGTGTTTCAAACAGAAGCACAGCGTAAAAATCGTGGGGCTCGTAAAGGACTGTGTGGTCTGGAAAATGGCAGGTTTGGGTGTGGGCAGCAGCAAAGGGGCAGTTGTCATCCAGCCCTCGGGTTCAAATGTAAGCCTAAAAAAAAAAAGGAATGGGGGGGGGGGCGGGGGAAGAGCAAAGCTCCATAAATCTGGCTTTGTAATATTCGTCTGGTCTGGAAAGCTGTGATAGAACCGAGGTAAATTATTTCTTTCTTGGACAAAGTTGAAAAAGTGCGTTTGAATTTAAACATTAATTCTAGCCAATATTAAAACCAGTTTTCATTTGACTTCTTCAACGACTTCGGCACTGAACCCCCATCTGTGGCAGTGTTCATTTTGGAGGTGTTTGGGGAATAAGAAAGTCCCGTTCTTTAAAAACCAGGGTTTTTTTTTGTCTGAGCTGTGTTTTCACACGTGCTGTGTGTGGGTTTGTGGCTGCCTGCTCAGTGCCTCTCTCGGCGGCCGGTGGTCACCACGCTCAGCTCGCGGGGACCTTTCTCACCTGGATGTCGTCTTCTCTTGCTAGCATGGAGGAGTAGAATTTGTTTATTCATCCTAGAAATGCAGAAGGAAAAGGTTATAGCTCGTTATTTCCTTTGCAGAGTCATTTTTAGTAGCCGACGTTGATAGATCCCTTATTGACTCACAAGCCCTCCCTCTTCTTTTCATTGTGTTGTCTTCTCCTGGGGTTTCCGAAGCAGTAGGTCAACTTTGACTCACCGGTACCACTGAGTAATGCCCTTGCTTTGATACAACCGCTTGCCTCTCCCCAAAAAGCCATTTTTTTCTTTCTACCAAATGCAAGGATGCTGGAGTCCAAAGTGTTTCCATCCATCTGAGGGATTCATACTCCGAGGGGGGCAATGGCTCATTGCGAGATGCTCTGTGGTAGAGGCAGCCCCCGTGGGAAACGCGGTCCTCCTCCACACTCTTGATGGGATGGGTGATGTCATTGACCATCTGAGCCACCCATCCTGAGGAAATTCAGCGTATTCCAGCTTGGCTTTTTGACTTTATGGTTTTTACACAGGGGGAAATGAAAAAAAAAAAAAAAGAAAAGGGGGGGGTGGGAGGAGGAAGATGAGATCTTTGCACCTGGTCTTGTGTGGTCTTGGAAAGCGGGGTAGGATGCTGAACGTGGGAAGCTTGAGAGCTGGGATGATCTTCACTTCTGCTCCGTTTTATTTCCCTCCCTTCTTCAGGTTGATGAAATTTATCACGATGAGTCCCTGGGCGTCCACATCAACATCGTGCTGGTCAGGATGATCATGGTGGGATACCGCCAGGTAAATGCAGCACTTGGACGTAGCGAGGAGGGGATGCTAGTCAGGCTGGCCTTGGCTTTTCGGCCACTTTCCCGACTCGAGCCCTGCCCCGTGAGGGAAGGAGGGTTGCCAAAATGCAATATAGGCGCAGCAGGCAGCTGCCGCTTCTCCCAAGCGTGTGGCGACACACCCTGGCTTAGTGTCTCATCACTGTAATATTTAGCACTTAGGTAAGCCCTGGCTTGGAAAAATGTGGCCGTTCAGGTCAGCTGTCAAAGCCGAAGTGACAACTGTGCCGAGCAGGGGTGAATTTGAACCCTTGTCTGGCTGGTTCCTGGAGCCTTGAAGGTCTGGAGAGCCCCATAGCCATCCAGGGCCAAGAGTGATGGTGGGTGGCTGCGATCAGCCTTGCTCTGGGGTGTGGGAAAAACCACGAGAGGCTTAAAATCATAGAATGTTTTGGGCTGGAAGGGACCCCTAGAGGTCACCCAGCCCAACCCCCCTGCAGGAGCAGGGACACCTTGAACCACATCAGGTTGCTCACAGCCCTGTCCAACCTGGCTTGGAATGTTCCCAGGGATGGGGCCTCCACCCGCTCTCTGGGCAACCCCTGCCAGGGTTTCACCACCCTCACTGCAAAGAATTTCTTCCTTAGATCCAGTCTAAACCTGCCCTGATTCAGTTTAAAGCCATCCCCCCTTGTCCTGTCGCAGCTGGCCCTACTAAAAAGCTCGTCCCCCCCTTTCCTCTGGGCCCCCTTTAAGCCCTGACCGGCCGCACTCAGCTCTGCCCGCACACTTCTCTTCCCTTTCCTCTGGGCCCCCTTGAAGCCCTGACCGGCCGCACTCAGCTCTGCCCGCAGCCTTCTCTTCTCCAGGCTGAACACCCCCAACTCTCCCAGCCTGGCCTCAGAGCAGAGGGGCTCCAGCCCTGGGATCATTTTTGTAGCTCAGAAGCTCTAGGGCGGCAGTAGGTGATGGGACAAAGGTGGCTTCCAAAACTGAGAGGAGCTGGATGTTAGTGAGGAGAAGCCAAGGCCAGGATCTCCTGTATCCCAGCCTTGACTCAGCAGCCCTGGAAGGCTTCGCTGACTGTCCAGCAGCTCTCGGGTGGCTTGGCCATGGACAGAAAAAGCACAGGAAGGTTTCATGTGGTTTCTCAGGTTGCATTTATTTTGTAAAGGCTCTTTAGAACACAGCAGCTGAAAGATTTTCTTTAAAACGATGTGATTTGCTGTACTTTTTGAGACAAGCCCCTATCCTATGTGAAGCGTTCTAGCAAGGGTACTCATGACTTGACAGGGTGGTGTCTCTGGCTGTGTGGTCCACAAATAAGCCCCAGTAGGTCTTGGAAAAAAGCCCTCCTTGTTACAGAAATCTGCTTGGCCGGCAGAAACCCAGTGCCTCCTAGAGACCCAGGGATGAGCAGATGTTTGAATCCAGGCGAGATCTCAGCTCACCACTGTTTAGGTCTGATGTTTCCCGAGCGAGTCCTCCTGTGGCTTCTTGTCTCCCACCTTGAACTTTGTAGGATAAAACCTCCAGGGCTTCCACTTAAGGGCCAGGGGAATGACAATATTTCTTACCTTTCTTCCCACCGTTGCAGCTCAGCAGGTACCTACCTGAGAGCACAATTTATTTTATAGAGCATAATTATTTTACAGAGCATAATTTTGCAAAATGCTAATCTTGGACAAAAAAAAAAGATGAAGGACAAGGTGACTGCTATAAAACAGTCCTGGACACCTCCACCTATTTCCTATTGAGGTTTCAGTCGCTGTGGGTCAAGTTTTACAGGGAAGCATTGCTCTGCTCATTGCTGAGCATCAGCATCGCGCGACGTCTCGACGAGGAGCCTGTGTCGGGGCTGGGAATCTAAATCCTCTTTGCCTTCCAGCCACTCTCCTCTTGTATCTACTGCTGTCCCGAGTGCTTGTGTGACCAAAGAGGGTCGTATACCATCCTGTACCAGACCACAGCCATTTGTGGGAATGATTTCCTTGCTGGTTTTAAATAAAAAAGGTGCAAGATGCTTTGCAGATGCAAAGCAGGATGGTGTTGCTTCTAATGATGGAGAAGCACTGCTTAGGAGTCTTTCTGACCCCAAAACTCTTGGCAGGCTCCTTCTCCCCCACTAACTTACCCATATTTGTATTTATTATTTATTTATTTAAATGTATTTTAATTCTTTACCCAGTCAGTCAGCCTGATATGGCGGGCTCCTTCTCCCCCACTAACTTACCCATATTTCTATTTATTATTTATTTATTTATTTAAATTTATTTTAATTCTTTACCCAGTCAGTCAGCCTGATAGAGCGAGGGAACCCGTCTCGGAGCTTGGAGCAGGTCTGCCGCTGGGCTCACTCGCAGCAGCGCTCTGACCCAGAGCACGCCGAGTACCACGACCACGCTGTATTCCTCACCAGGCAAGATTTTGGTCCCGCAGGTATGCAAGGTACTGTATTTATCTCGATCAGGTATGTGTGCAGTTTGCTGGGGGAAAGCCAGCAAGGGGAGAGGATTTCTTGCAAACACAGTCTCTTTCTTGGCCAGCAAGGTCCAGAAAAAGGTTATGAAAATTGATATTTTCTTTATGTGGAGTAGAAGAAAGATGGAATTAATCCAGAGCATCAACCTGAACGGATAAAAAATCATCTTTATTCATTCTGCCCTTACTTTGTTTTCAGGCATCCATCCTCACCTTGTCGCAAAGTGCCCGAAACAGTTTAAAAATAACATTAAAAAGATGGAATACCGCAGGGAGTTTCATGGAGGCAGTCAGTCCTTTGTGTCTTCTGGAGGACCTTTCAAACCTGATTTTACAGTGATGGGTCTGGAACACAAGTCATACGAGGAGCGGCTGAGGGAATTGGGGTTGTTTAGTCTGGAGAAGAGGAGGCTGAGGGGAGACCTTATCACCCTTTACAGCTACCTGAGAGGAGGCTGTAGGGAGGTGGGGGTCGGCCTCTTCTCCCTGGTAACAGATGATAGGATGAGGGGGAATGGTTTGAAGCTGTGCCAGGGCAGGTTTAGGCTAGACATTAGGAAAAACTTCTTCACCAAAAGGGTTGTCAGGCTCTGGAATGGGCTGCCCAGGGAGGTGGTCGAGTCCCCATCCTTGGAGGGATTTAAAAGAAGGATAGATGAGGTGCTTAGGGACATGGTTTAGTGGTGGGATGGCAGGGTTAGGTTAAAGGTCGGACTCGATGATCTTAAAGGTCTTTTCCAACCAAAGTGATTCTATGATTCTATG